CACATTATTCCTCGAAGAAGTGAAGGAATCCATTGTTTATGAAAAATTTCAGTATCAATAACTTTAAAATAGACTTTACAGCGCCTCTCTGTGGATGAGAATTTTAGGAGAAATAGAGAAGAAGTAGAAGAAGGAAGCGGGAGATTTGGCAAAAGAAATAGGGTTTTAGTGTTTTAGAAGAAGACAACTTGTGGGTGCGTGGGTATATTATTAATAAATATATTTTATGATTTTATTTATTTGTGGGGCGATGATTACATGGCATAAAATATATTTTATTTTGCCATGTCAGATTTATTTTGGTGACAAATATTGTTTAATGATTTTTTGAAGATAAAAGTGTTAAGTTGAGTGATTTTTGTAGATAAAAGTGTTAGTTGAGTGATTTTAGTGATACAAAATAAAGTTTAGTGACTTTACAAGACAATTTCTCATGGTTCAGTGACCTTTTAAGATATTAACTCCTCATTATTCTATCCTATAAATTCAGCATATCAGATTAACTCTTGAATAATTATTTGTATCGATATATTATATATGAAATAACTATCAATATCTATAAATTAATTAATGGAGAAGTGATTTAACATCTCTTTTAGACAAATATTTTTAAACATTTGAGATTCTTAATGTTAAATTAATTTTAAACACATAAATAACTATAATTATAGTTAGCTAGCAGTTAAAATAAAATAAGGTGGTGTTTCACTTTGAAAATAAAATTATTTTTTCTATTTTTACAATAAAACATTGCTAAACGGCTATTAAATATAGGAATTGTTTTTTTCATTTTTGATTTTTTTATGAACAATTCTAAAATGACCGCAATATCAATCAAATTACCATGACATCAAAAGCAAGCCAAAAGTTTAGAATCATTTGTTCCTATTCCAGAAGAAAAATTAGATGATATTAAATGGCTATCACTCAAAATTCATCATAACAAAAAAATAATTAAAAAAGCACAAAACTCATAACCATAATTATAAATAAGTCACCTATTTAAAATTTAATTTCAACTATTATATGCTTGTCTATATATGTAAATTTAATATCCACGACATATCACAAGAAAAAAAATCAAATAGATATTAATCAAAATTTTCATATCATCATAAAAGCGTCCCCCCTCATTTAAAAATAAATTAATTAAAAGTGGACAAAAGAATTACGTACCTATAAAACTTCTTGCTCAATTGGTGTAATATTCTATAAATATCCACGACATATCACAAGAAAAAAATATCAAATAGATATTAATCAAATTTCAATTGATATTAATCAAAATTTTCAAATCATCATAAAAGCATCCTCCCTCATGCAAAAATAAATTAATTAAAATTGTAACAGAAAGAATTACGTACCTATACAATCATCTCATCCTCCCTCATCAAAAAATAAATTAATTAAAAGTGGACAGAAGAATTACGTACCTATATAATCGACTCTCCATTTGCATTACCTTTTCTTTTATTAATCAGCATAACATATACACTATGTTATTAATCATCATAACATACAGTATTGTTGAAAAGAAATGAAAAGTAAATATATGCAAAAATATTACTCAAAGATCATTGCTCCCAAGATTTAATGCAAAAAGTAAATGTAAGAGTAATTGTTGAATATACGGGGGTTATAGGAAGGGGAAAGATGAAGAAACATAGACAGTCACTATCCATTAATTATTCAATTTATTGAAGAATCAAAACTCAATAATAAAGTCATGATATATTACTACGTGGGCTGACTTTTTATACATAAAAAAGGAAAGTGCTAAATGGCCAAAAAATTTGGCCAGAATTTGATCAGAAAATTTTAAAAAACTATAATATTTTAATTTTTTTTTAAAAATAAACTGATCGTTTTTCCATTTTTTAGTTAAAAGATATTAAAGTTAAAAGGGTAAAAATGTTTAAAAAGGTAAAATAATATAAATAAAATATCATTCTGGCCAAATTTTCTGGCCAGAAAGATTTTCCCTTAAAAAATATTAGTATATTATTATGTTATCATTATATAAAATAGAAGAAAAAAAGATAGGAAATTAATGCAAAAATAATAGAGTAAAATGAGCCATTTTATTTTTTATGAATTTGATGTGTAATTAAGAGGTAAGAGATTTAATTGGAATGTGGCATTTTATAAATGGCAACATTTGAGCAAGAAGTTTTTAAAGACACTAACATTTCTCTTTCATATTTAATATTTATTTAAAATATTTTTGATTAAAAATTGAAATAAAATTCAAAATATTGAGAAAATAAATAAATATATTTCCTGATCAAAGAGGCATGCCACATCAGCATGCTTATGATCAGGGGCGGATCTATGAAGGGGTGTGAGGGTGTCACGCCACCCCCGAACTTCGATGGAAACTCTATATATACATAGGTATATATGTATATAATATTTATATAAATATAAAGCGTGCCACCTAGAGAACAAAATTGGCTTGTGGTGCCACGGTAGGAGGGCAACTTTGGAAGGATGATGTTGCGGGTTCGAATCCTATTTGTACCTATTTTTTTGAGAAATTTGCTGCAGACGTTTTTTAAGGAAAAAAAAAAGTCTCCAAGCACTTTTTTTAAGGAAAAACAGCTGGCACATTATTTTATTTTTTTATAATTGTTATTGACTTAAATTAAATTAATTACATTATTACTCCTTTGACTTTTCACTTGTTTATTTACTTGTAAAGTTGACTTTGATTTTACACGTTGCTACGGCAACTGTGGAGAGAGCATTTTCGTCAATGAAGCACATACAAAATGAAGTGTGGAATAGTATTGCTAATCAATATTTAAATGATTGTCTAGTGTGTTACATAGAGCGTGATGTATTTATAAATGTTAGTAATGATGTCATTATCGATCGTTTTCAGAATATGAAAACTCGTCGAGGACAATTATAAATGAATGATGAATATTTATAAGATTAGTAATATTATTGAAAGTTTTAAATTTGTTAACTTCATGCTTTTAGTGTGGAGTGTGGATTTGTAATATCTTATTATTTATATTTTATTGATTGATTTATTATATATATTGAAAAGACGAATAATTTAATCAAATATAAAATTAATTTAATCGATAAATCTATTTAGCACCCACGGACTCTAAATCCTGAATCCGCCACTGCTTATGATTCTCCTTTATATATAATATTGATTTAGATTTTTAACGAGCCACGTCATCTATAAATATTTAAGAGCAGTGTTATGAAATAATATAATTATGGTGGATGTCCATTAACTCCTAAGAAGTTATTTCCACTACTCTACTCTATGTGGTATAGTTAATTCTCTACTATTTCTCACCATTATAATTTAACTCTTACGTCCTTTAACCTCCTACATAATTTTCATGATTGATGTCATATTTTGATAACCTTTTATATGCCTCTATAAACACTATAAACAGATGCAACAAAACTCAAATTATAAGCGCTTGAAAGGAAGAAAAAGTCATCTTAAATTATTTCTCTTATCCTATATAGTTTCTCTTGTTTTTATAGTGTTATTCGTGTTTTTGGTACAAAAGGATTTTATATACTATAACTTAATATGTGTCATTACATTGAAGTGGCAGAGCAGTACTACTACTAGCACTACAAAAAATACAACTTTTAGTGACAACTCTCTATGGCGACACATATAGTTGCCACAAATGTATGGCTTATTGTGGCGATTAACAAAGTTGCCACAAAAACTGGAGGCTATAGTTGCGACACCTATTGTCGCAACAAAACGTAGGCGACTTAATTCATGTCGTCAGTAAAATGGAGCTTTTGCAATAATCTTTTATGTCGCCAGAAATTTCTTTATGTTGATAAAATAAGACATTGTATGTCAATTTAACTTCAATTAATAGTTGTAAAGATAGTAATAATGATTTACTTATTTTTCATTGCTAAATTAGTACTTACACTAATTTAATGCATCTAATGACCATCTTTTAAAATTAGTATTTAGACTAATTTAATGCATCTAATGAGTATTTTAAATATAGTACTCCCTTTGTCCCTAATTACTTGTACACTTTTGAATTGACACACCTATTAAGAAAATAATTAATGACATAGTGAGTTTACCATTTTTACCCCCTATTAATTATGAAGTGGATGAAAAGTTCTACATTTTTTCAAAATAATTAGTCATTTAATTGAGGGTATAATAGGTAAAAAGAATTTGTCCTTTCTTAATTTGCCAAAATGGACAAGTAATTAGGGACAACTATAAAAGGAAAAGTGGACAAGTAATTAGGGACAGAGGGAGTACTTAGGTATTAAATATTGTTATTGAAATAAGTAATGTGAGTAATTTCCTAATAAACTTATTTTAAGTAATTACTCAGTGATTGAAAGACTTTTGCACATTACAAAAATAACTAATTTTAGGCATATATATTAGTATTACTTTTATTGAAAAGTAAATAAGCTAAATTATGATAGTAAAGATATAAAATATGCAGTGTGTATTTCTTGTTTACTATTTTGAGTTCATAAGAAGGTTATTTTTAGTTTTTATTTATAAGAAAGGGATATTATAATAAAAATCTTTGTTCTATGAGATACATTTTCTGTATTTAAAATCAAATACTTACGTCTCATATAATATGAAAATTCTACTCTTACATCTCCTATGAGATATATCTCGAACTAGGTATATTGAAATAAAATTATTAAAATGTATGCTTTATTTTTCTAATTTAATTTGAGGAGTAATTTTAAAGTGGATGACTAAATAAACAAACTAAAATAAAAATGAAAAATTTCTATATAATAAAATACTATAATAATCAAAATGCAAAAAAAAAATACCTATTCGAAATAATCAAAAAAATTATAAATCCTTGTTTTCCTTAAACTAAAATATGTACATTAAATTACTTAGAGATTTTAATTTATATATGAACACGTTTGGAAAAATAAACCATTATTTATTTGTTTAATTCGAAGATGAAATAGAATGAGAAAAATTTATTTTTAATACATAAGCAGGCCTCAATGCTTGAACCAAAAACCCTAACCCAGCCCAAATAACCCAACTAAAGATCCCAATCCCTTCCCCATTTTCATTCAATCAATTTTGAACCACATAATCGCCGCCTATAGGACGTCGGGAAAAGACCGGCGATACCTCTGCCATCGCCGTAGTTGTCTCCTCCACCCTCTCACGCCTCTTGGAAGCTTCTCACAGTTACAAATGTCGAATAGACCTCAAGAATGAACACAGTGACACTAATGTTTAGTTTTTTCTGATGTAAAAAGAGCCTATATTGGCTCTGTTGAACAAGCTTTTCAATGGTGAAGACTCGAGATTCACTGATTCGTTGTCTCGGAGAAGGTCAATAACCTCCCTTTTACTTACTTTCCATTCTAGGTCTTTAAATGAATAAATGTTCTTGCCCGCTCAATTAATTTTTTGTTGTATTTGATAAATAAAATCAGCATCTAAAATTGCTAATATGAACTGAAAACCTTAAGAAAAAAGAATCACTGATCAGTTAATTTACTCGATATGTGATTAACATTGTTGCTAGTCTAGTTTGTGTGTTGAGAACCACTTGAATGTGTTTTACTTCATTCTTGTATGAGAGTTTTAAAATTAACTTGAACATTTAGGAGAAAGCCACTGATTCATATAAGAATTTAAAGTTGTTGAAATTTGTGACTAGCTAGAAAAATGTTATGGCTCATCTAAAATCTATTTCCAAGGATTTGATGTAATAAGATTTCTTTTATCAAAAATTAAATCTAATGCAAGTACAAGTTTCTGAATTTACATAACTAAATACCATGTAAAGACTATATGTTGGTGAAATGCTTCATAGTATGATCATACAAGTTATATGATACATTTATAGGAAGGACCATAACTATATGTTGTAGTAAAGTAATTTCTTTGGAAAGAAAATGTAGTTTTCCTTTGTTCCTTTATGGAATATAAGAAGTATAATTGACTTGGTGATTTATTAATTCAGTCAAATGGAGAGAAGACTTATTTGTTTTCTATGCTTAGTCTTAAAATATGGTTCAAGGTTTTATTGGTGCTCACTTTTGATTGTTGTGACTTTGGAAATTTGAAGTTTGTATGATGTCAGTTTTTTTTATATTGTATTTATGCTTCAGTAACACTTTTCAACATATTAGTTTTAGAATGTTAGTGCTAGTTTTCGTTTCTGCGAGACCCTTGCCACCTGCCCATCCGCTCTTGTCCTTAACTCGTTTTGCCGAATCTAACTATTTGGTGCTGCTCAACACGATATTTTCCTTCAGTTGCTTTAGCTAAAAGTTTCACTTTAAACGTGCTATTGCATTCGATTTTGGATATGATTAATATCTAAGAAGATTAAGTTATGGATGTATCCCAAGTTGAAAAAATCAAAGAAGAGTTGCCTGATGATGATTGAGATGTCACTAGAAAAAAATAATGATATGGAGTGACAAAACACATTTACCACAATTAACTATATTTTGATTTTTTGATAATTTAGTTTGAGTAATTGGTCATAGATTCAATTTTAACGATATGCTTGTGATGACTTTAGCTTCTTTTTAACTTGGCCAAACAATCAGCTCTGCAAGTCAGATACTTCCCAACTCCAATTTTTGTGCTTCTGCAGTTTTATCATATTTATTCGTTATTTTGTTTCTATGAAGTTTTTTGCTACTGATGTTGATTCTATGAATTACTTAGGAAGCTGAGATGAAAATTAAGATGGATTGGAAGTTGTCAGAAGAAATAGATAGAACGTTCCAAGAACAAATTAGATTAGAAGTGGACAAAGAGATTAAAAGCGGTGGATTCTATAATGTCGAGAATTCAACAGGTAACACATTGGTATCTATTTTGACCTTTTGTTATAACTGCAACTCTTGAGCACAAGTGGCCAATGGTTAGTTCTCTGTAATAAATCTTGAGCTATCCAACATCATCCCCCAGATGCACTTCTTCATTGTTTCTCTTCTTGCATGGAACTAGCTTGTTTTCGTCAATTTTGGGAAGGAATTGGAAAACAACTTATAAATAGAATGCATTTGGTGAACTCGGTGTTGAATTTATTGTACCACCAACAAGTTATGATAATACAAGTGATCTTGTGTATTTTCCTAATAGGGGCAAGGTACTTACATTATCCCAAAATCCATTGACAAAGGAGGGGAGTTTGAAGACACTTAATTAATAGTTAATTTTCTTTTTCATATGTGTATGCATAAATGACATTGAACAATGAAATATTGTGAATTATATATTTTGTTGAGTTTTTTAGTAATAGAAGTACTTGTTATATCCAGTTTAAGGATTATTTTTTGTGTTTCTTGAATTACAATGAATGATGATAATATATTAATAGGATATTGACAAAATATATGAGTATATATTAATTTTAGAGGAAATTTTTTAGAATAGACTATTGCAGTTGAAAAGATAGGTTTTGTGGCGACAAAATTTGTCACAAATAAATTAGTACCTGTGGCGATAATAAGTTGCCTCCAAATCTCAAGATTTTGTGGCGATTAGAGTTGCCATTGAAAGTATTATACATCTGCGACAACATAAGTCGCTACTGAAATCCTTTCTTTAGTGGCGATGAGAGTTGCAACTAATACTATAAGACAATTTATCGCGACTGTAATAGCCACTAAAAGTCTAACTTCAGTGGCGACTTACAAAACATGTATTTTGTGGAAGTTTTTTTGTGGCATACTTGGTTACTTTTAGTTGCCACGATTTTAGATGTGATTATTCTGTATTTATATATGATCATGAATTTACTTTCTACCAGTTTTTTTTTAAAATTGTTTCATTAGTTCTATAATTAGTAGTAAATTAACTGTGGTTAAAGTTAATCGTAGTTAATTAACTTGTATGTATTGATTGGATAATACAAGTTATTGAGTTATGTAAAAGATACCTAAAAGTTGTCCAGTCCTAAACAAGACAGGAAACCCCTTAGGCTTCTTCAGAAAAGGAACATCAAACGTTACTTGGAAAACACGTTATACACGTATGATCCAAGTAAACCAGATGGAGAAGAAATTGAGATCTGACCATCATCAAAAGGAGACAAAGTCCGCTAGTGTGACGTCGTCTGATTTCGTGTTGCAAAGGGGGAACAAAAAGAGACTTCGGTGCAAGAAGGTACAAAATATTAACAATAATAATAATGGCTCGATCGATTCGGTGGCAATTCCGAAAAAATCGGTTCGAGTTGATCGACAAGTTGTAAGATCTGATTTAAAAAATCAACCCGCTACCACCAATACCATCAGTAGTAACGCTTATTTGAATCTCCGGCAACGAGCGACCTCCCCTTCTCATTGAATTCTCAGGTGCATTTTTTTCTCTATTTTCCTTCTAAAAATGCTTGATTGGTGCGTGATTATACGACCTTCAATGTAATTAATGGTGGAGCTAGATACTACAATGAGGTTAGGGCTCATAAAAAAAATTACTTTAATCCTCCTTACGATGATTAAGGAAAGATTATTGTGTGTAAAACTTACACTGACATAACTAGAGTCAAGTAATAATAGATGACCTTTAATTGTATCCTGATTTGTAATTGGTCATGTGGCAATGTCATAACGTTACCTTTGTGTAACATTGCCACATGACCAATTACAAATCAGGATACAATTAAAGGTCATCAATTATTACTTGACTCTAGTTATGTCAGTGTAATTTTTTCACACAATAATCTTTCCCTAATCACCGTAAAGAGGATTAAAGTAATTTTTTTTATGAACCCTAACCTCATTGCGGTATCTAGCTCCACCATTAATTACGTCGAAGGTTGTATAATCACGCACCAAACAAGCATTTTTAGAAGGAAAATAGAGAAAAAAATGCACCTGAGAATTCGATGAGAAGGGGAGGTTGCTCGCTGCCGGAGATTCAAATAAGCGTTACTACTGATGATGTTGGTGGTAGCGGGTTGATTTTTTAGATCAGATCTTACAACTTGTCGATCAACTCGAACCGATTTTTTCGGAATTGCCACCGAATCGATCGAGTCATTATTATTATTGTTAATATTTTGTACCTTCTTGCACCGAAGTCTCTTTTTGTTCCCCCTTTGCAACACGAAATCAGACGACGCCATACTAGCTGACTTTGTCTCCATTTGATGATGATCAGATCTCAATTTCTTCCCCATATGTATCTTTTACATAACTCAATAACCTGTATTATCCAATCAATACATAAAAATTAATTAACTACGATTAACTTTAACCACAATTAATTTACTACTAATCATAGAACTAATGAAAAAATTGGTAGAAAGTAAATTCACGATCATATATAAATATAGAATAATCACATCTAAAATCGTGGCGACTAAAAGTAACCAAGTATGCCACGGTGGTAAACTCGCCACAAAAAATAATTCGTTGCGACTTTCAGGTGTTTTGTAGCAACTTCTGTCGCCACAAAAAGAGCTGATTTCTTGTAGTGTAGGATAAGTAGGGAAGTGGCTCCTGTCCAGTAGAGATTCTGTCCATTTCCTCCAGAGGAGCATTAGATTCTTTACACGTGTCCCATAAATATTTTAATGAATTGATTTGATTATCCTTTAACTAGGGTTAATTATTTTTACAATGAATTAATTAGATTCTTTACACGTGTCCCATGAATATTTTAATGAACTATTTGATTTATTATGCCTAGTAAAAGAAGTTCCGATTTTATCTACTTCTAATTATAAGCTAAAATGTTTTTAGTTTCTTGACATCCAATATTTTGATTCACGCATGGTAGGAGGCCTTCAAATAGGAACATAAAAATGGGATAGAATGACCACTTATAATTTGAACTTAAGTCTAATTTGTCACTCAAATCAAGAGTACACATAAAAAGCTACATACAAGAAAAAGCACAAACAATTTTTTTAAAATTGATGTATGATATTCATATTGAGACTCGAACAGATGTGAGAAGTCCCAAAAAGCGCACACAATTTAAGATGCACAAAGTAGAGATACGTAAGAATAATTAACAATAACAATTTCAAACAACTTGAACAAGAAACATAGTCTCTAAAGCCTTGAGGAATATTGGTGGGCAGCTACATTGAGGACAAATCGAAACTTAACATCATTCTTGGAAAGCCTATCAAAGGCTTCATTAATTTTGTCAATTGAAACAAGCTCTATCTCACACAAGATGTTGTGTTTGCCACAAAAATTCATCATCTCTTGTAACTCCTTCACACTTCCAATAATGCTACCCCTAACAACTTTCTTACCTGAAACATATTTTCAAAAAATAACTAAACAACTTGAATATAACATGAATGTTTTATACCTCCAAAAATATTTCCGCACCCGTGTCGGATCCTTCAAAAATACACTATTTTTGGAGATTCTGACATGCACCTGTCGATATTTTTGAAGAGACCGAACAACAAATGTTTTATATAATAATAGTAATTTCAGGGGATATCTTGTATACCGTTTTATGGAAATCCAATAACTTTGTGCCCATATGGTTATATGTATTTAGAAGATTTGCTAAGCATCTATAAATATTTGACTGTAAACTCTGTAATTAGTGTAGTATATTAAATTGAGGTTGTGTAGAAATTCTTCAACTTTAAATTTTGAATCTGTCTATAAATAGTTCAATGAAAAATATTTACCATATATCAAAGGTGTAGCTGGGACTTCAATTGGCTGAGCTGGTTCTCCCACAATTGATATAGTTCCATTCACTTTTAGGAGCTCAAGATAAGGCCCTAAAGAATGCTTTGCTGATACTGTATCAATAATAAAATCTAAACTTCTTCTGTTCCTCTGCCAGCCATCAAAAAGGGCAAAATAGGGAAAAAGAATAAATAAGTACTAAATTTTCAATTATTGTACCAAAGAATAAAACTAATCATTGTATATTGTCTCACGAAAAAATTATTTGTTACGAGGGACATAAATTAAAAACCAACATAAAATAGGGGCAAAAGTACAAATGACCCGCTCTTTTAAATGGAGGATTGAGGTAGGGTAGGCTAGGCCGTTGCAATCTCCAGCCTCAGGTTGGTCAGCTCGTTTTAACAGCTCTATTCACATTCATAAAATAATTATATTGAGTGTTGTAAAAATATGACACATGAGTATAATCAATCCAAATGCATGCCAACTCATAAAAGGAGGATTGCCTAAGTTCATTTAAGAAGACCACTGGTCCGTTCCATATTGATTGGGACTTTAACCCATTCTAACATCTCCTTCACACCTAGGTCCAACTATAGTGTGGACCAAGAGTTCAAATGAAGATGAACCTGACTTTGATATCATGCAAAATTAGGTCTTGGGTCTAAGTCACATCCCAAAAGTTGGCTCAAAGGGAAGAGGATTGCCCAAGGCTTATAAGGAAACCACTCATCTTATTAACTATCGACATTAGACTTTTTCATTTTTCAACATCCTGTCTCACACCTAGGGTTGGACATCTAGTGTGTGGGAAAATTTGATTTGGGGCCTAACATTCGGTGAGATGAGTTCTGCTTCAATACCATATAAAGATATGACACACATGAGTCTAATTTAACCCGAGGAGAATTGTCCAAATCCATATAAGAAGATGATAGGTCTATTTTCCCAAACAACATGAGACTTTAACCCACTCTAACAATTGTAAACATGTATATTGTCAGCAACTCAACTTATACCCTCTATTTCAATTTATTTGTCTAATTTTTATTAGACTGTTTAAAAAAATTGATTTATCTCTTTTTTGACAGCTTTTCAATTTCAACTTTCTACGTGACATGTGTACAAAGTTTACAAACCTGCATTTGTTTGAGGTCTGTGCTCAAGACAAAGCCATCAGCATCCAATTTGTCTTTTGCATCTTTTTCTTTAGAAGGAGAGGTGCTAATAACAGTAACATGATGACCAAAAGCCTTCCCAAATTTGATAGCCATATGCCCAACACCACCTAAACCTATTACAGCCATATGTTTGCCTGGTGACTCAAATAAGTTGCTATTTTTCATGGCAGTGTACACTGTCAAGCCAGCTCCCATCAGTGGTGCTGCTCTATCCA